AAGAAGAAATATCATCAACCCATGATCTGACTTCTATAGGTCTCCTGGGGCTGATCACAAGACTTTCTCATTCCAGTTATAAACACAAGACCTTCCGCAGCCCAGATCTGAAGCAGCTTGCTCACTTTTCTGCTTTTAAAATGTCTAGCAAATGGAACTACTAAGTACTTAATAACAGATGGTGAACAGGAGAAGTAGAATAAAAGAAAAAGCTACCTCCCAGTGGCATGGTTATCAAGACCTTTCTCCCAGATGGGGTCGTAGCAGAGGAACTACTCCAGAGAAGCAAGTGAGGAGAACTTTAAAATGTGAGCTCTATGAAACAATCAACCTCACTTCCCAGCACTGGTGTCTTTGTCAAACAACAGGAACACCAGAATCGCCCTAATGCAACGGAACAATGACCTATTTATTCTGATATCCTGTCTCCTACTGAGATTTATGCCAGGTTCTTTTGAGGAAGGGCTAAACACCACATAAGCACCCTATTGTGTACCACTTGATGGAGTATGGAGTGGGGGCACTTTGGAGAGGATGGGAAGGGTGGTTTTCTTCCTGAAGCATGTGGGATGTATAAACAATATCCAATCATTTGTCCTCAATTTGGATTCCTAGGGACCTTGGTTAGCAGCACTTCTGAGCTGCAAAAAAAATATGCTATGAATGGTGACAACTCACTATGTGCTTTACTATTTTCATCCACCTTTTGGTTTCTCAGTGCCTTGCCTTCCCAAGCTGATCACACTGCTCCCTAAGCCAATCACACGACCACCTTTTCTTTTTATTTTGACCTTGGGTAGATGTTATATATTCAATTTTCCATGCTTGTATGTGGAATACTAGTAATTTCTAGTAGTCCATATTGATTAAACCTATTAAAAATTTATGATCTCTAAGTTTACCTGGAGAATCAAGACATTTGCCCTATTTATCTCCACTTGATATTTACTTTTCTGCACAGCTGTTTAAAAAAAGCCGTTTTCACTCTGGAATGATTTGAAAACCTCAAATGCAACCGTGCATTTCCCACCACTTGCATTTTTTTTGGTTAGAATCTAATGTTGGCTCAATGAATGTTTTTATTACATAATATTTTATATCTATCCATGAGGTTTCAAACCACACCAACAATATTCATTTCTTACCTAAGTAGCCGTACATTCTTACAAAAAGAAATTTAAAAGTCTCAGAACATGTTCTCATTATATCTGGGTCCCTGATTCTGTCCATTGTTTATAGCACTAGTGATGTGAAGCTATCAAACTATACAACTTGAAACTTTTTACATGGTTAAGAGATACAAGAAGATGGATAAAAAAATCACATGAAAAATTATATCAAAGCAATTTTCTCTGAAAGGAATGCCCTCACTGACGTGGCAAAAGGGTTCACATGGGAAAATGCTCCATTAGAAGCTCTGGCAAGCGGGGCATATTCAGAGTGCTCTGTAGAGCAGCCTCAGGAGTGGATGAAAAATCAGCAGAGGATAAAGGGGCAAGAGCTGTTCTTATTTCATTTCAGCCTTCACTGATTCTGGCCAATCTCCCATTGTTTGGTTCTATAAGTTTGTAAAAAACAAATTTTTATTATTTTCATTTTATGAGAGTAATTTTATCAAACTCAGTGCATACACTGATTAAAAATGCATAAAATAAGAAACAGTATATATAACCTGAAGTTTAAAATAGCACAAGCAACTTAGGGAAATATCTGGAAAGAAAATCATACATGAGATAAACAAGAAAGGGAAAAGACCAACAGGGTATCCTATTTGACTGAATCATTCATGCTGGAATCAACAGTGCTGGCCCCAGCGTACTTTGCAGAAATGGTGAAGTAGAGTTTCTATTTAGTGATGTAGGGGAAGAAAAATCTCTTTTCCTCTACAGGGGAGGAATAATTTTCCTCTACCTTTCAAAGATTTTTCTGGCTGGCTGGTCTAAGAATTAAATTGACATGAGATAAATTAACAGGAGAAAATCAAGTTTAATTTTGTATGCATGGAACCCCATATACACAAGGAGATTCAAAGACAGAAAAGTAAAATGAAGTATATATGCCATCCTGAGCTAAGAAATGGGATAGGGGCCTGGGAGAGCAAATCACAGGGCAACAAGAAGAGCGGATGTTTGGTAATTAGATGTTTGCCCTGTCATGCAGTTGGGTCACTCAGATAAAATTGATCTCTGGTAATAACTCTAATTCTGGGAAAGCTCCTCCATTTAGATTCTTCTAGGTAGTTAAGACTAGAGGCAAAGTTCCTCTTGAGTCCACAGGGTCCCAGTTGCCTTTAGTTCAAAATATTCCACATGTCAAAGTGGCACATTCTGGGGAGATTTGTCTGAACCCTTTCATCTCTACCTTCCTAGGTTCAAACTGATAAAAGACAAATTAGCAAGAGAAGAAAAAAAAAACAGTTGTAATTATGTACATATACCCCAGACTTCACAAAAGAAAATGTGGCTCCTGGAGGCAGCCAGAAGACTAAGGCTTATATACCATCTTAGGCTAAACAAAGGGCTTCTGGGCAGGGGAGGTAAGTTCTGGGAAGATGAGGGGAAGAGATGTATGATAAATAGGGGTTGTCTTGCTATGCAGATTAGAATCTCTAAGGTGATACGGAGTTGTCTCTCTTCCTGGTACAGACACAGCTCTACAAATGGAAATTTCCTCTAGAAATGTAAATTTCCTTGTAAAGGGGAAATTTATACTTTATTTAGGCAGTTAGTGGGAGGTCAAGAGCTTTTCCTGTGTCTGTTGGCTCTTAATCGCCTGTAGCTCAAAATACTCTTATGCCAAAGTGGCCTAATTTGGGGTGGCATATTCAGTGACGTGTTGCCATAAATAATGAATAATAATGAATAATAGTTAATGAGTGTTAAATCCATCACTTCCCACTCTTCTTGTCCATTGGGGAATGAACAGACTTCATTTCGTCCCAGGAACACTGCTAAATAATTTATGAATATAATCTGCTACAAACCCTTTTGTTTTGTAGCAGGGTTTAGAAGAACTTTTCTATAGAGAGTCAGATAGTAAATACAGAGCCAAAATTAGGGAAAGGCAAGGGAGGCATCTAAGATGCAAAATTTAAAGAAGCTCTCTCGGGGTCATGCAGGCACCCGGAGCATGAGTGTCTGCTGTAGAGACCTCACTCACTTCACCCTAGTCCTGATCCTAAGTAAATCTGTTATGGTTTGTAGGACAGATAGACGGTCTCTTGTGAGTACCCAACTCTGCCACTGTAGCACCACGCACTATAGACAATTCTAAACAGATGGGTGTAGCTATGTTCCAATTCAAGTTTATTTACAAAAACAGGCCATGGATCAGATTTGGCCCAAGGGCTATAGTTTGCCCGACTCTAGTTTTATGGGAATATTTAAAATGAACGTAAATGTTACATTATTTGATTTGCCTATTAAATTTCATCAGTATGCAGAAAATGTGTTATGTCAGCAAATGGCATCTATTAAAAACGTTGCTGGGATACTGCTTGGGTCCCTAAAACTGGAAAGAAGGTTCCAGAATTGGGACCCAAAACATCACTGATTTCTGGGTTAAGAGATGTATATCTTTACACCTTTTAAAATTCCTTGCTTGGTTTTTCTCTTTCTCTCTCTCTCTCTCTCTCTCTCTCTCTTTTTTTGGCTTTTACCCACCCACGTCCTAGTCCACCTGTCAAAATGCTACTCATTTTTTTAAAAGCTAAATTTAAAAATTGCTTCCTCTATGAAACTGTCTCTCCTTACCTCATCTCCCCACATTCAAATTATTCACACTCCCTCTGAGATGATACAGCCTTTGGTTTGGAATTTTATACTAAAAGTGTTCACAATGCCTTGGGTTATAATTAGCTATATATGGGTCTAACTCTCGCTAAAGGCAGGACCTATCTTAAATTCACCTATTTTCCTAAATATGAAACCATATTGCATACTTGTTGGTCTTTAAATATATACTGCAGTAAAGTGAATTGACTGATTTGTTCTGAAGGCTTTATAAAGGGCCACTCCTCAGAATCTCTCTCATGCCAGTGCACTCCAGATAGAAGCGCCCTGAAGCCATGTGGGAAGCATGTGTGGCAGTCTCTTGGCCTCCAGACCATGATCACAGCCTACACGTTATATTTTAACAAGCTAATATGCCACCCACCAGTTAATTATTACATTCTAATTTTCTGATGCTACGTAACTCATAATGAGCATACTCTAGGAGTCCAAGCATGCAATCTTTTATTAGGAAAAGATAATTGTAAATGATTTTTCAAAGTTATTCAACCGAATGCTATGACATCTGGGGTTTTCTTCCTCATCTAGTGGGGCAGGGAAGAGAAGGCACAGATGAAACAAGAGCGATCTTTGTGGATGAATATTATACTTAGGAGTTAGATATAGAGGAATTTTGTACATTTCTCTCCAGTTTTGTATAGGCTCCAAATTTTCTAATTTAACAGAATAGCAAATCAGCTAAAAAATCAAAAACCTTTTTAAAGCCTGCCTTTGTCTTTGGTAAATGCATTTTTTCCTTAGAGACTAATACAAAGAGAAATAGAAAAGAAGAATAGATACATGATAGATAGATAGATAGATAGATAGATAGATAGATAGATAGATAGATAAGCATTTTGCAATGGACTTATTTTTCTGACTTTTGTTTCTCTTGCCCTAATTCCTTCTGGACCTTTATCCATGAGTCAGTGCTTATGTTCAAAGCTCTGGTAGTTATCTTATTGTCTTAGCCAAAAGCAGAGTAAAGTGGCATAATGGAGGGAGGAAACCCACTCATACTAATAGTAGCTAACAATTGAGTACACGGTATAGACAAAACACTGTTTGAAGCACTATGTTTTTTTTGTTTTTTGTTTTTTGGGTTTTTTTTTTTTTTACCAGTCATCTTTAATTGGATGTTAATTCTGAATTAGAATATGAAAGGAGTCAAGGGTGCCAGGCAAAGGTCATGGTCAGGAATGCTGAATGTGCCTCCACACTGGGCCCTCTTCAGTGGTACTTGCGTAGCCCCTTGTGTTTGAGTTCCTTGTAACAACAACAGTAGTTGAAAAACATAAAAGCTGCCAGCACCATAGAAATCCCAGCAACGCCCCCTTTCTTCACATTGACATACTTGTTGTAATACCGGTAGTAACCTCTTTGAAATGCTCCAGCAATGCCCTTAGGGGTGAAATCCCGCATCAGTATCCAGCTGGGCAGCTCTCCTAATTTCCCATCCATGAGCTTCTTCTCCTTCACTGGTACGACTGACGCCATCATGGAGTCCTGGGTGTCCGCTCTCTGAAGCATTTGTATACCAACCAAGGAGTTAAATCCTGTTTATTACCCTATTTTAGAGAAGACATTATGTAACTTGACTAAAGACACACAATTTGCAAATAGAAAAGCTGGGATTAGAATGCATGCAACTGGCTTCAGAGCCCCAGCTTATAACCATTATGTCATATAATAAAAAAGAAAATGTCTGATGGAATTTAGAGAATTTACCAGACCAACCCCAAGTTCCCATTCTTCAGTGCCTGACTCTATTTCCCAGCTTCTTATCACAAGCTCCTCCTTAAATTACAGCTTTTGCACTTTTGCAGCTACCTCCATGGACTAACTGCTTCTTGTTAAAGACTTGTAGGTTCCTCTCTGTAGTAGGCAACTTTCTGCAGTAACAAAAACTCTGATCTTCGTAGCTTACAACAACAAAGGCTTGTTTCTTGCTCATTTTATATCTCAGCTGTGGCTTGACTGCAGCCCGGCTGTATGTCTGCTCCGTGTGTGTGTGTGTTTCCATTCAGTGCCCTAGAAGGGGACAGAAGCTATGTGAGCCATGGCCGTGTACATAGCACAGAAGAGTAAGAACTCTGAAGAAAATTTATGATACCTCTGAAAGTTGGTGTGAATGAGAGATACATCACATTCTCTCATATTGCACTGGCCAAAGCATGTCATTCGGCCAAGCCCAAAGTCAGTGAGACATGTTTACTCTTCTTCCAGGAAGCCCAACAAAACATGTAAGAATAGGCAGGAGTGATTATTCTCTCACAAAGGAAAGGAGTCTAAGTATTGTGGAAAGTGATTTAATCTGCCTCCTTCCTTCCAATATCCGTTTATTTCTCGCATTATTTACTCTACCAATATTCTGTGATTACTAGGTACTGATATAGCTTGTCCCTAGATTCCATCATTATCCATTTCCTGGTTCAAGGTTTTTCTTTAATTATACAAACAAGAGATTTTGGTGCTCTTAAGTCCAACTCTTTCATCGTAGAGAAAATGGGCTTCTTGTCCAAAGGCATACCAATAGCTCATGAATAAATTGTTACAAGAGCACAGGACTCCTAAACTGTTGTCTAGAGCATTTGAAATCAGGATGATGAAATAAAAGTCTATTGGCACCCAGACTTTTGGTGACCCCGGTTATATTTGGAACAAAGAAGAAGGTATTATTTAGGATTACATGCAACATCAAAAAACATAAACCCTATTACACAGTCTTAAACACAAGGGGTTTATTTTTCTCACATGATGCAAAACCCCAAAGCAGGCTGTCCTGGGAGAGTAGAGTCAGGGACCCAAGTTCCTTCTAATTTTCTACTTTATCTGCCTATGCAAGCTTTCTACTTCATACTTACATATCTGGTCCCATGTGTGTGTTCCATGAGGGAAGAAGGATAAAAAAACAAAGGTGAAAACATAAGCAGTAGTCTATCCCCTTTAAATATGATAAAGTAGCCTACCCAGGACCACTATCTGTATAATTCTGTTTTTCCTCATTGGTCAAAGGTGGGTCACAGGGTCATCCTTATTTGTAAAGAAGTCTATGTCAATATCTTTATTTTCAAGACTTTATTTGGAAATAATCACAGAATCACAAGAAGTTGCACAAATACTGAGAGGTCCCAGTTAGCCATTATATCGCTTCCCTCAATGGTAACATCTTCCATACCTGTAGCACATTATCAAAATTAAGAAACTTACACCGACAGAGTACATTTTTTTTACAGATTTTATTTATTTATTTGACACAGAGAGACACAGCGAGAGAGGGAACACAAGCAGGGTGAGCAGGAAGGGAAGAAGCGGGCTTCCCACAGAGCAGAGAACCAGATGTGGGGCTTGATCCCAGGACCCTGAGATCAGGACCCGAGCCGAAGGCAGACGCTTAATGACTGAGTCACCCAGGCGCCCCGAAAGATTACATTTGACTAAACTACCAACCCAATTAAGATTTTACCTGCTTTTTTCATGAACTCTGCTTTCATTTTTTATATGTCTGTGTATATGGTTCTATGACATTTTATCACAGATTCATATAACTATGGTCAAAATCATGACATAGAGCAGCTCCAAAACACAAAGGAACTCTAGGAGATGGGTCTTTTTAACTACATACATTGCAGCCCTCCACAAAATCAGGGATCCTGATAGGAAGGAAGAAGGAAAAATGGGTTTGGGGTAGGCAACAAGCAGTACCTGCCACAAAGGGCAGCTATTTTAAGGAGAGGGAGTTTTCCATGATCTTGGAGATACGAATAGATTCCATCCACCCCCATCCTTCCTCCCGACACATACACTCCTTCTGTTCTTTAGAAATCTCTCAAACAAATTCCATACAATTTGATTTATCTCATGCTAGAGAACTGTAATAATCCCATTGAGATGTGGAATTCATGATTTCAAGAAACAGCAAATATATGTCTGAGTTCAATACCACTAAAACCACCCAAGAGACCAATGAAAGAACAAAGGGTTTTTGTTGTTATTGTTCTAATGAGAATAATTCCTTGACACAGGACCAAAAGTCAATATGCATAGGAAAAATGAAAAACTCAGAGGGTCTCAAATTGCATCATGTTTGGGCAAGGGGCTGAGAGTAAGGGTGACCTTTTGACTAGAGAGCCAACCATGATTTGTAGTTCAACTCCAGAATTTCCTGAATGAAACTTAGCAATATGCTTACTCTGGGACCTGTGGAACATTCCTTCTTGTTGTCTAACCTGAAAGTTCTTAAAGTGCTAATAATGAGGAGAAATGAATATGAAGAAACGTGTAGAGAATATGCATGTCCATAGTGGGAAAAATATATCTTCTAGAAAGTACAAATGTGTATAACAAAATACAATCATTTATTGAGTGTACTCTGAGTTGCAAAACAAGGGCAAGCTTGACCTGATGTGGTTGACTTGTGATTAATAAAGGCCATCTCATGACATTCTAATGACCTAAGAGTTGTCCTCCCTACAAATATTAGCTATTGAGCAGTCTGTTGTAAGATGTTGCTCAGATCCTGGGCAAAATGACCCCAGCCCAAGTAAAAATAACTAAACAGAAAGCAGTTTGCCCTCCGGAGCACACCCTTTCAAAATGGTGTCTTTTCCACAATTATAGAGGTGGCCATTGGCATGATGGTCGTTACAGTGGATGACATAAGACACCAGAGTAAGCAGCATGAAATAAGGATCAATCTAGTCAGTACTGGATTGAAACCTTAGCGGTCAAACTATGAGATAGCCAGCAAAATAATCAGAGGGTGATGCCATTGGTATGTACCAGCCCGCCCCCCCCACCCCCCGCAGCAGGCTGAGTGATGCAGGCATCATTCCACTTTTGCCCCAGCTCCTTTGGGCCCCAGTTCTAGGACACAGTCTCAGTAGATAAGGCTGGGTGATACATTTTTTTATGTACTCATTTCCCTTCATGTTAGAGGCTAGTTTCTGAGCCGAAAAGGTGTTAACAACCAGAGAAGTTCACTATAGAGCAAATAAGACCTCAAGTTGCAGGCACTAAATGAGTAACATCCATAAGTGGAACAGATCAGTGTGTGACAGTAAGGAGTAGTGAGGACTGTGTCTAAGAGTAGCATGAATACCCAAACACGTTCAAATTCCCCAAAAAGCCCCATAACAAAGAAAACAAGAACAAACACAACAATATGCTCACTGGATAGTGTGAAGGACAAATTCAGTCTAGGATCGTCCACTAAAAGACTTCTCCCAAGGAGAGGACAAACGTTAAGACCAATCATGTTCTTCCAAAACTCTGCACTTTCCTTTATTACACAGTTTAAGTCCAAGTTTCTGTCTGTCTCATGGTTTCTTCGGTTTGTAGGCATTTTTTTTTCATTTATAGGCATTTTTGCAATGGGTTCCACCATAATATTTTATTATCAGATTCTAACACAGGTGATTCACTTTTTACTTGACAAGCAAAGCCTGAAAACTGGCCACACTGGCAAGGATGTGGAGTCCGATCCCTTTCCCCTTGCATCTACACGGACCTCTGTGCTTGCTTGAACAGGAGAATGCAGAGGAGCTATATTCTGAACTTCTAGGGTTAGGTCTTAAGAGACCTTACGATATCTGGCTGTTCCTGAGTTCTATCCTTTTAAAGTGAGCTGGTAATGTAGTAAGTAAAATACGTCTCTGAGTTCTGTGAGCTGCTCTAGCAAATTAATGGAACCCAAGGAAGGGTCATGGGAACTTCCATCTATAGCTGATGGTCAGTCAGAGCAAAGGGAACAACCTGGACTTGGTGTCCCATGTTGTTCTTATTGGTAGTGGTGAGGGGAGGGGTCGGTCTTGTAGGACCACATCCGGAACCTGTAGGATCTGACACTGTCTCCAGGTAGATAGTGTCAACATTGAGTTGATTTGTGGGTCACTCAGTTGGTGCCCAAGAACTGCTTCATGTGGGAAACCCCCCCTGTCCACGCTGGAATTGGGTGTGGAGCATTTTACATAGTTTAGTTCAAAGCCCTCAGTAGGACAATAACTAACATTTGCACAGTACTTACTATTGCCAGGCACTGTGACACATGCACTTCTCACAGAAATCTGTGAACTAAGTATTATTATTACCATCCCACAGAAAAATTATGTCACTTGTCCATAGTCACTCAGCTAATAGGCAACAAAGCTAGGATTCAAAGCCAGGCAACATGGTTTCAGAGTCTATGCTCTCAACACCTACACAAAAATCCTAACACTCCTTTTAAAGAATTTGATTCCCTTTATTCAAACTAAGCAAGGGTCATCCTAGTGTGCTCCATCAATCCTTTTTAGGTGGTCTATTTAGGCAGATTATTTGTTCTCCTCTGCTTCACCCTGGGCTGTGCTGATGAGCTTCACGAAGAACCACACAAGTCTGGTGCGATGCCATAGGAGAATGTTGAGGATTCCACACCACAGAACCTGATTACATTACATAATACTCTATTTATAAGGATCCCCAGAAAAAATATCCTTCCTGACATTGGGGTCAGGAAT